AGTACATCAATGATGTAGTATCATAAATTAGTAATACAAAAAACACAAAATTATTTGCCCAAAATAAATCAAACATAGTCCATAAAAAATTTTAGACTCTTAGTTTATCACAGAGAGTAAAATATCTAAATTAATAAAATAAAAAATCATGAATTTGTAGCTCTATTTTCCCATCGACATGCTTCATTCTGTCAAGTATCATTGATGTATCTCACCTTGCATTTGTCTCTTAAGATTGTGACTGTGGCTTGCTCACACTACTGTGCATTCTCATGTTCGTTTGTCGCATCTGGTTCCATCTTCTCTCTTGCATTCATCTCTAAAAAAGATCATTTTAAATTATATATCTCGTATTCATTGTGTTTAGTTCTAGAGATTTCTTGTATTTTTAATCAATTTGTATTTTTAATCAAAAAAAAAAAAGATATTAAAAGGGTAGTTTTGTAAATTAATTATAAACTATATATTAAAAAGGCCATTTTTAAAATTTAAGAAGGGATAGGCTATTTTTTTAGTTGATCTTATGATATGAGTTATATGTGCAAAAGTCCCTATTAAAATGGTCAGAATCTATATTAATCTATAATTAGAAATTACTTGGTATCCATGGAATAAAAAAGAAATTACTTGTTATCCAAGTTATACAATTATCAATATATTAACTTAACTTTCCTACACGTACTATAGTATAGATTGGCACAATATTTATACAATTAGAAAGTACTTGTCGTCCAAGGGGATAGGATTTTTGGAATAGGTAAGTAATGAGTATGTAGAATTTTAATTATGTTAACATTCATTTAATAGGATTCAAAATATATATTACGACATTTTTTCTAAGTTCCATGTTTAAAAATATAAAATATTTTAATTCTTTTAAGATGTAATTAATAAGATTTAATTAAAAAATATTAATCAAGGGATGTAGTTAACAATACTTTTCTATATTATAATATAAATTTTTGTTAATTAATAATTGATGTTTTGAAAAATGATTAAAATTTTAATTTTTTTAAAATTTTCACATTTTTTATATTATTGAGTGAAATAAATATAACATTCAGCTTATTTAGAACTCCCACTTTAATTTATTGAGTTGAATATAATAAAGGGTATGATTGAAATATATATATATATATATATATATATAAAATACCTACAACAAGCATTATATTTTGAATTAGGCAAGACTTTTATGAAACACCACATATCATGGTCAAGAGAAGTATGGCTTTGTAATTGAGTTATCTTATTAAATAAAAGTAAATATAAAAAAGTCTCTAATTTTAAAGACAACTGGCTAATTTATAAAGGTGTAATTCAGTTAAAATGACTTAACTATAATATAATGCATAGAATAATCGAGAAGTATTTACTTTAACTGATTGAAAAAATTAAATTAATTTATCTTAAACTTTTAAGTTTAAATCTTTGAATATACATTACATTGAATAAATATATTAAAAGCATTCTTAACATACTTATAAGATTTCGGTTGATAATAATATTTTTACATAGTAGAGCTTAAATTGATTTGAGTTGGTTTATATATATATATATATATATATATAAAATATTAAATAAATAAATAAAATGACGCGTGCATGGACAGTTGTGTTGCGTTGCGTTGCGACATTTATTGCAGTATTGTAATAGCAGGTGAGAGAAAATGTATCGCAGTTGAAAACGCGTCATCCGGGTTCAGACTCAGCGGGCCCATAATAGGCCAACACTTTAGGCTCTGACACATTATTATTATTTTCCTTAAAGATGTTATGTTAATTTTTAATACAGAACATTCTAACAAACAAATAGTTAAAATACAGGAGTCGGCTTTTCTCTTTTTTTAAAAAAAATTAATTTTTTAATCTATCAATTTTTAACTCAATTGTAACTCAATCTCTTAACTATGACTCGTAGTGATTCAGTCTCTCAATTTTTGATTCACCTATAATTCTTATTTTTTAATTTTTTAAAATTCTTATCAAATAAGAGGGATAAAAGAAATGCTCATATATTATTCTAAAATACTCTGATCTTGCTTATTAATGTGAGATCTAAGCTAACATAAAAAAATTAACAAAAATTTAGGGACTAAATTGTAAGTAATTTAAATTTGAAGGACTGAGTCATAGGCGAGTCACAGTTGAGGGATTAAGTTACAAGTAAATTAAAAGTTGGAGGACTAAAAGATTAATTTTTTTCAAAAAAAAACTACTTTGCCTCTCTTTTGACGCAATAGCATAATTTAGATTGTTCAAATTTAATATTTTTTTACTTTTAATTTATATTTTTAAAATAAAAAATATAAAAATTATAAAAAATTTAATAAATATATTTATAAATCTAACAGTTTAAATTTAATATAAATGCTTTAAATTTAGTATTAATTTTTTTAATAAATTTATTGTTCTGTTTAAAATATATTTAAACTGTCCAAACTATGTTTAAAAAGTTAATTTAATTTTTTTATATTAAATTTAGAGCATTTATGTTAAATTTGGGCTGTCAAATTCATAAGTATATTTATTAAAAAATTTAAAATTTTTATATATTTTTATTTTAAAAATATAAATAAAAAATAAAAATAAAAATATTAAATTTAAATTGTCTAGATTTAAACTCTGTCTCAAAGGAGAGACAGAGAATGATTCTCTCAAAGGAGTGGAGAGAAGCCGACTCTCAAAATACACTAGTATATGATTGGAAATTATAATTTGTTTCCTAAGTTGACAACTTGACATAGTAATAGCAGTAACACTGGCAGTGGACTAATAATAATACAATAAATATGATATTTTATTGTAATATTAATATATTATTACCATAATAATATAATATTATAAATATGTAAGTTTTTACATACGGTATTTTCAAATTGGCACGATATTTATATAATTGGAAATTTCTAAAGATACTATTTTTTAAGACACAATCATATGTAAAGATACACAACCAATTTTTTTGAGTAAAAATATAATTTTACTTTTAAATTATAAATTTAAGAGCATATGATATTTTAAATTTGTTTGTACAATTTTACCCATTAATATTTGAAAACATTACATCCTCTCACATTAATTATAAAGTAATGACTTTCACAGGACTTGGCTGTCAAAGGAGCTTAACTAGAGGGAGCACATTATGACATTTTAAATGTTAAGGAACGAAATTGTACCAAAAAAATTTTAGAATTTCAAATGCTCCCACCATAAAATTTAAAGATAAAATTGTCCATCACACCATTACCATATTTTGATATGTGTGAGCATTATGGTAATAATAATTTTTTAATGTATTTTTTATCCTCTTTATAAATTATTTCTACCAACTTCATCAATAATTTATAAAAAAATAAAAGTAATAAAAATATATAAACTTTTAAATATACTCTTATATAACAAATATAAAAAATGATATTATGTTACTTTATCTCTATTATGAAAGATAAATTTAAAAATATTTTTAAATATTATTTGAAAGAATATCATGATTTATAAATAAAATTAAATAATTTTTTTAAAATATATTTTATAAATAAGATCAATGAAAATATTTTGATTTGTGAATACTTATAGAGGGGCAAAGAGAGGAAAAGAAATTAATGAGACAAATGTGTTGTTTATTGGGAGAAGATTCTCTCCTCTTCACTCCCATCCTCCTTTTTATTTATAATCATTACATCAAGATTTGCATGGTCAAGATTTGCACTCTTATAAAATATTTTATTTTTTATTTTTTATTTTTTAATTGTCGATATTAGCGTATTTGTTGGAAAATTGGTATTGATGGAGGAAAGCGCGTTAATAGGGTATGGAGATATATATATATATATATATAACCCCTTTTTCTCTCTTCTCTTTTTCATTGAGTCAATCTCCTCATTAAGTTTATTTCCTTTTTGGTTTTTTGCTCCATTATTCAGTACGCACAAGAGATTCCTATATATCATGCACTGTTAATTTATTTTTTTTTATATTTTAATATATGCACAATCTACAACACACACAAACACATTTACATTTTCATCCCAAAAAAATCTAAATTTATTCATTTAAAAAGTATAACTGAAAAAACCTTAAATCTAGGCTAGTCAAATTGTTGTGGAATAGTATAAATCAATTTTGTTTCTTCTAAATTCCAAACTCCAATTACAGCTAGCTAAAGGAGTCTGAGTTGGATCACAATATTTTTAATTTATAAACATTTATGTTGTTATACATGCTTAAAAGTTACCCATTGAACTACTTTGATTGGCTCCTCAATATCTCAACTTATCGTGCATGAAATAAAAGGTGAAAAGTCCTATATTACAGATTCACAATACACATCCAAAGAACCCTCCATGCTTGGTTAATGCCTTACAAATATTTTACCCATTTGATCTTATCTACAATTTTTGTTTTCAAATAAAAAAGGGTAACTAATATGCAGCAAATACCACATGAGAATTGACAAGTAAATGTGGGCATAACCATCATTAGTCATAACTCATTGCCTCCAATTTATGCATGATTGAGAGAGAATAAAGGTGGAGTTAAAAGAGAGACTAGAAATAAATAAATAATAATAGCAATAGTAATAATATAATATTAATAATTTTTTTGTACCACTATCTAACTCAACAGTATTTTGAGTATTGTTGTACTCAATGAATATTTTGAGTAAAAGTTCATAAGTAACTCTTTTTACTAATATCAATGTTCGTTTGTTCAAGCCTTTGATTTTTTTTTCATTATATATAAATATTCTTTTATATAGATAATTTATTCTAAACAATCTTACATTAAATGTGCGCATCTCAAGAATTTAAATATTATTTATTATATTATAAAAAACTAACTCTTTCTATCAACTTCAACTCTAATCGGTTAAGTCATCAACATATTTCACAGAAAAGCATTGGAGTGTCAAAGTTGAGTTTGCACACAGAAGAAGATTGAAGGCCCGATCCCATCTGAAATCGTAATTTGCTTCACTTTCCTCACAGTATAAATTTGCGCTTACAACCCAACAAATCCACCAACATTCTCGACCCTCTCCTCCTCCTCTTCTCTCTCTCTCTCTCTCTCACAAAATACTACGCAAAACTAACTCAGCCATATGAGGAGTTCCTTCTTCCTTCTCTTTATCCACTTATCATCCTTCTCTGTAAGCTCTCACACCATTTACTCTCACGCTTCTTCTTCTTCTCCTTTCCATTTCTCTCTTTTATTTTTTGATCTTTTATGGATGATGTCATTCGCTAATGCAGGCTGGCTTTGCCGGAGCCGTTGGAACCTCCGGCGATGATGTGGCTCGGGGTACAAACCCATTCACTCCTAAGGCATTCTTGATTCGGTATTGGGATAAGGAGATCCGGAACGGCCTGCCTAAGCCGGAGTTCTTGCTCTCTAAGGCGTCCCCATTGACCGCCGTGGACTCGGCGGCTTTTGCCAAGCTCGCCGCCAGCAACGCTCTTTCCACGCGCCTCCCGGAATTTTGCTCCTCCGCGAATCTACTCTGTTTTCCTGATTTGGGTCAGAGCCTGGAGAAGCACTCTAAGGATGTGAACTTTGCTGTGTACCGGAACAAGAACTTCACCAACTATGGGACGGATCGGCTCGGTGGGTTGGACTCGTTTAAGAACTATTCCGAAGGGGAGAATATTCCGGTGAACGATTTCAGGAGATACAGCCGCGACTCCACAGGCCATAAGGACAATTTCCTCAGCTATGCGAATGATGGCAACGTGGTCGACCAGGGCTTCCACACCTACGGCGCCGCAGCAACAGGCGGCGTCGGCGAGTTCAAGAAGTATGCCGATTCGACCAATGTCCCCAATCTCCAATTCACCTCCTACTCTGATGATGCCAACGGGAGAGAGCAATCGTTCACTAGCTACTCCGAGAACGGAAATGCTGGGGGCCAATCTTTCTCCAACTATGGAAAACACGGGAATGGGGCTGTGAGCGGTTTCTCAAGCTACGGGACGAACTCGAACGTCGCCGGGTCGGGATTCTCGAATTACGGTGAGACTGGGAATGCCGGGAATGAGACATTCAAGAATTACGGTGTGAATATGAACAATCCCACCAACACCTTCAAGAACTACGCCGGCGGCGGCAATGGAGCCACTGACAGTTTCGCTAATTACAGAGACCAAGCCAATGTCGGAGAGGATTCATTTCAATCATATGCTAAGAGTGCAAACGCAGCTGAAGTCGATTTCTCGAACTACGGCAAATCCTTCAACGAAGGGACAGATAAATTCACCGGCTACGGGAAGGGAGCTAACGAGCATAAAATTGGGTTCAAAGGCTACGGAGTGAACAATACCTTCAAGGACTACGCGAAAGACGGCGTCACATTCACAGGCTACACCAATGTGAGCACCGCTCTCAGTGCTTCCATGGCAAAATCTGGTTCTGCCATCAACGGCAATATGGTAAAAAGGTGGGTGGAACCAGGTAAATTCTTCCGCGAATCGATGCTGAAGCGAGGGACGGTGACGCCGTTCCCGGACATCAGAGATAAAATGCCCAAGAGGTCGTTTCTTCCCCGATCTATCATCTCCAAATTACCATTCTCGACCTCGAAAATCTCAGAGCTGAAGCAGATTTTCAAAGTGTCTGATAATTCCTCCATGGACCAGATCCTATCGAGCTCCCTCAGCGAGTGCGAGAGGACTCCGAGCCCCGGCGAGACCAAACGCTGCGTCGGCTCCATCGAGGACATGATCGACTTCGCGACGTCGGTGCTGGGGCGCAACGTCGTCGTTCGGACCACCCAGAACGTGAACGGGTCGAAGAAGAACGTGGTGGTGGGTCGGGTCCAGAAGATAAACGGGGGCCAGGTCACCCAATCCGTGTCGTGCCACCAGAGCCTCTTCCCTTACCTGCTCTACTACTGCCACTCCGTCCCCAAAGTTCGGGTCTACGAAGCGGATCTATTGGACCCGAAAAGCAAGGCCAAGATCAACCACGGTGTTGCCATCTGTCACCTGGATACCACCGCGTGGAGCCCCACCCATGGCGCGTTCCTCTCCCTCGGATCGGGTCCAGGTCGGATCGAAGTCTGCCACTGGATCTTCGAGAATGACATGACCTGGACCATCGCGGATTGAGTTCGGGTTTGGCTGCTTCGTTCCTTCACATGCCATAGGCTAAGAAAAAACTTAGCAGGGGCAACGCTTGAAATTTAATTTAAATCCCAAATATTTAAGTAATTTTTAATTATTATTATTATTATTATTATTATTAGTTTTCCATAGAAAAGTAAGAAGTCAAGTGACGGGGGGGTAATATTTTACATTATTATATATTTTCATCATATAATTGCTCAGATGGTGATCCTGCATGAGCCTGGATTTCTCTGTAAAAGTGTCATCTCTCTCTCTCTCTCTCTCTGCCCTTTTTAATTTTCATTTTCCTTTTATCTAATGGGTTCCCTAATAATTGGAATAATGGGTTTGATCATAATATACATTTTGATGCATTGTGTTAGTTTGGGTTCAATAATTGTGTGAACTGATTAGACACACACTCATAGACACATAAAAACACACACGAGAATGCATTCTGTGATCGATGAGACAAAAAGGAGAAAGATGATGGAGATTCTATAGGCTGAGAAAATTTTCATGGGAAGAGAAAGAAAATTATAAAAGAGAAGGGTGGAGAGAGAGAGAGATAGAGAAAGGGAGAGAGGGAACAATAGCTAACACAGAATTGGATTTTCCACAAATATACAAAGCCATGTGAACAAAAGGATGAGGTGGTCCTTAAACCACCAAAATTGTGCTCCTTGTATTGGTGTGAGAAGGTTCACGAGACAGCTATTGTTGGCCAATGTTTAAAAAGTATTTTTTTTCCCCACTATCATTTTATTTATGATATTTTATAAATATAAAATATTTTCACTTGCATTGGCTTCAGTCCTTTTATGAACTCAAACATTTATGAGAAATTGCTGACTTTGTTGCCTTTCTAGATGTCTAGTCAATTCCTCTCTTTATTTAGCTGTGTGGGAGATGCAAGCATATATAATCTTTATTGAAAACCGATGTATTCATTGAACTGGTTAAAATAATGTTTTAAAATTATAATTAAAATTATAATTGAATTGTGAACAAATAAGTTATAAATAAAATATTTTTTTAAATTAAATAAGATACTGATTTAATAGCTTATTTGATAAATTTGGCAAGCTGACCAGACTTCTATATTTTATAAGTCAGAATCCTAATGCTTTTTTAGACCCAACATTAGGAGAACTTTATCTATGTTATTTTAGGGAAGCTTTTTATTAATGAACCTGTAAAAGCATTTTATTAATTAAGTGTTATGTGAATGATGTTAACTTTGTTTGTTCTAGTTCTAATCTCGGCACAACAAGAAGTTTAATTAAATCAATAAACTATGTAATCATTTGTTATTAAATTACCCTGGAGTCAAAAGTGATCATTCATGTTGTGGTTAAAAGTTGAAAATGAGCCAACTCAAATTGAAATATATGTCAAGGGAGGATCCTGGTTTCTTCAACAAATAATTGAAGGATTGATTCCTAACTGTTAAATGTGTGGAGAAAATTTAGTTGAGAAAGTCACCTAAAGAGAGATTATTCTTTGTTATTAACAGATGACGCTCCTTATTTTTTTAAAAAATAATTAAATCTAGAATTTGAACTTATAAGAGGAGATGATGAGACATGCTAATAGTATTGTCTCCCATAAGAAATACTCTCTCTATTAAAAAATATAAAGTATTTTTAATCAATTTTACATCTCAATAAAATAATTATTTATTTTTAAATTAACCCTATCTTTTCATATTTATTTTTATTAAATAAGGTGTTTGATCCTAAAATAAATATAACATAATTTAGTTAGTAGAGGTACTTTAAAAAAAAGACAATAATTATATCTTAAAAAATTAAAAATATTTTATATTTTTTAATATCTAATCTCTCAAAAAATATTTTATATTTTTAACAGAGAAAATATTTGCTTACTGGGACCATAACAAAATGGATAAAGTGAAATAGTATGAAAATAAATAATTATTAAAATTCAATTTTTATTAAAAAGTTATTCCTTTCAAATCATGTTCCCCCCACACACACATCAATTGATATAAAATATACTCCTTCCATTAAAAAATATAAAATATTTTTAATTAAATTTTACTTCTTAATGAAGTAATTAATTATTTTTAATTTAATATTTTTTTACATTTACCTTTATTTAATAGAATGTTTTACTTTAAAATAAATATAAAATAATTTATTTATTTACTATATGCACTTGGGAGATAATAAATATAAAATAATTTATTTATTTATTATGAGCACTGGAGGGGACACATTATTTATAAATGCGAACCCTTCAGTCATCATCAATTATCAATTATTCTATAATTTTTGTACAAAGTTAATAGTTTATATATGAATAGTTCTCATATATATATATATATATATATATTTGAATAGTGATGGGTCATGGGATCTAATAAGAATAACTTGTCTGATCTTCCATGCCTTGTTTGTTTATTTTATTTTTTAAAAAATAATTATTTTATTAATAATTGTAATTAGTAACATTAATTAACCCCACACGTGTGAAATCACATACATAAATCAACATTTAAAAGGCAATTGCATGATACCAAAGGTGTTTAATTCAACTTGTAGAAAAAAATTGAATTAACTTATTCTAAAATTTTGAATTCAAATTTTAAAATATGCAATTATATTAAATAAAAATATCAAAAATATTAAAAATAACGGTTATACAAAACATGAATTAGCATTAGTCTAGATGAGTGACAATAATATCTTAAATTTTTTTGGTTTTCAGGAAATAAAATTAAAAAAAAAAACTTGCATGACACAAATACCAACCCATCAATATAAGACATCCATGCAATAACATGCCAATTTTCACAAATTGGGGTAAATAAATACTATATTTCAGATTTTACCCTGTCTGAAAGTGAATAGGGTAAATACAGAGCTGATAAGGCAAACAAACAAACAAAAAATATTGAACCACAAATGATTGAAAAGTGCCTGAGATGTGATTGTGAACAATGCAGTGCACACACGTATGCTCCTAATTGGTCAAATAACTATTACACTTCATTGTTTGCTTACCCATTCCCTGCGCATCGCAAGTGATGACTGATGAGCAGCGCATGTTTATTAGGATCAGGAACAAATTTAACTCAATTTTAACCCTTCATTTCGATTCAAATCAATCTTTATTATTCATTTAAATTAATTTTTAAATATTTTTAATATTATATTATAATATAAAAATATAAAAAATTTAAAATTTTAATAAATATATTCATTATCAATCTAATTAGTACAGATTTAATTTAATATTAAAAAATTTTATAATTTTATAATTTGACTGTTTAAATAAATTCTGTATAATTTAAATATAATTTAGATGATTAATTTAATATTAAATTTTTTATATTCACTATTTAAATGTACTTTAAATAGTACAGATTTAATATTAAAAATTTTTATATTTTTTATTTTAATAAATGAAATATTAAAAATATTTAAAATTAATTTAAATAAACAACAGGGATCAATTTGAATTGAAATGAAAGGCAGCATTACCCTAGCTCTAATGAGCATTTGGTGATTACTCCTGTCCTTGATGAGAGCACCAACATGCTCATTCCCTTGGGAGATTGAAGTTTCTTTCTTTCTGTTTTGAGAATAAATTAATGTCTTTATCATAAAATAAAAATTTAAGTTAACCTATATAATTCATTTAGTAAACTGTTAAATTAACCATTGTCTTGACAACTTAAAAAATATGCTATCTTTATGATTAATTTAATTATAATTTAACTATAATTTTGATCATTAATTTTTGAAATAATGTTTTGACTAGTTTAGTTTTTAATGCATTATAGACTTTATCTTTGAAATAATGTTTTCTTCAGATTTGGTTTATTAATTATTTTCTCTCAATTAGAATATCCACTCATCATATCAATTAATTAACATGCTAATTTTTATAAAAGAATTGACATCTAATTAAAATAATATAAGTAAGAGTTCATGTGATTATTAGTTGATGTGGAGTTGTCATTTTCTCTTAAATAATATCATTTTTCTTAATTTCTAACGTCTTATTACACTTGGTGGATTTTGAAAAATTAGGCAAAATGATTTCAATCGTTTTCGAGATTCAATTGGTGGATTTATATTTAGACAATTATTTTAAAAGAGAAGTGGTCTTTTAAGGATTAAGGTTATATTTTAGTGCATTTTTAGCAAAAAATTAAATGATATAATTTTAATTTCAACAATAATATCATTTCTCCATTTTATTCGTACTCAAACAGATATTCTCCATCATACCATTTGGAAGGGTTAAAAAAGGGGGAAAAAAAGAAAAGAAAACAAATGAAAAAAAAAACTTTTAACCAAGAATTTACTCCAAACAGATTATTTTACTCCCGGTCATTTCATGGTTGGCATATCCAAAACACACTAAATCATTAACTTACTTTTAGATTAACTTTAAGATACTTAATTCTAATTTCTTCTATTTTCAAAAGTGAAAATCTCAAAATACACACTAAGAATTGAATTGGTTTCAAGTCTCCCTGCTTTCTTGTTCTAATAACATTGTTAAACAAAAGTTATGGCAAACTCTCTGAATCGTTGCTCTCTTTTATTGTATCTTTATAGCCTTCTCCCTAGCACTCTCTTTCTCTATTTTTTTAACCGGAACATCCAATATCTTGGACTTGTTCATCATATTGAGGTGACTTTAATGAGGTTCAGATTAATTGAAATTGAATTAAGATGGGACCCTTTCATGTAAAAGCTTTACTATCAATATTGCTACATTTTCAGAACTTGAATTTGAAACTTCTACTTAAATTAATATGACTACTACTTCGTTGTTAAACCAAATGTTTGATGGTCTCTCTCTCTCTCTCTGCACCATTTCATTGTTTTTGGGGGCTTATATTTATGAAAGTTTATCATCTTATCACATGTTTCAATAGATAGGATAAGAGAGAGCACATGATGAGATAGAATTAGGAGAGAATCTGTTGCCTACTCGCCATGTCATTCATATGCCCTTCACATATAAAGAGGATTGAAGAGGAAAAAAAAGAATATACTTTAATAAACAAAATTAAGTTATTTGATTTGGGCTATTGTCACTAATTAAGAGTATAAATGACATGATTCTTGAATTTGAATTCGAGTTCAAATTTTAAGTATACAGTTGTGTTAAATACTTATTGAGAGTGCTTTGTTGTCAATATGATTTTATCTAACTCAACCTATGAATAAAGAGTAATTGTATAAAAAAAATTATAAATGACAAGATGTTATGAAAGCATTTTTACTCCCTCTTTTTTTTTAACCTCAAGGGTAAAAGACAAACCGACCCCACTCCTAATTAAGTTTAATTATTGCTCTGCATGTAAGAATTGAGATTTGCATTTCTAATC